TTCCTTGTTTTCATTCCCATTATTTTATTTTGAGTCCTCAACTTCTCTTTTTTCTAATGTGTCCATCGCCCAATTTCCTCTAGATTATTGAGCATTAAACTAATTTTTATGTTGTTTCATGAAGTATTTCATGATATTTGTTTCATGATACATAGTATTATTCTAATATTTATTGAAAAATTACTTTTCTGTGGCACTAATGTGGAGATCATAAGATCATTGACACTATTCAGTTTCAACAGAAACATTTCATCAAATGTATCCTGTTTGGTATGGACATGCACCTGTTATGAGCATCGATCCAGCTCACTAAGATATAACATATTCTTCTAGCCAACCTATTGTAGTTACAAGACATGACTTGTTTCTTGTCTTATGAGACATCATTCACAATGTCTTTTTTATAATGATTGGTGAATGGTAATATCATTGTATATTTTTCATAATTATTGTCATCTATAAGATGACATTCATCCTAGGATATTCAATCTTGTGTAAATATATGGGTTAGGAAATGACATCTTACGAGCATAAACATCGTCATCATGTTTTTTTTGGGTGGAATCACTGTTATCTCTAGATTTTATATAATTGCAGAATTTGGGGCTTTTCCCTATAATAAACAGCCTGTCGTAAAATATCTTTCTCCTCTAGAAACTCATTGGTGTTACATCATGGAAAAAGAAGGGAAGCTAAAACAAGAGGCATCTACATGCTTGGTTCATTTTTTTTCATTTATTTGTGATCTCACTAAACTTTGTCTCCCTACAAATTGTGGAACAACATTAGGAAACACGTCATGGTGTTCTCTGATGGTCAACCTCAGGGGAGAAGAGGAGGGCATTAGACGGTCAATTTCCAAGAGGAGGAGGTTTGAGCTCAAGTCATGTTATAGGTGTTATAGACTTGTAGGCATGATACCAATTGATTTTGTGTTGGATGTCTCCAAATTCTAAAATGTTGTCACAGATCTTGAGTGGTCTTGTTGGCTGTGTTTCTGTCCCAGGTCTATTTATCTTGTCTCGAACTTCTCTTTACTGCCTCTATGTGTGGCTGGACTGCACTACTGTGGGAGTATTAGAGGGGTCTCACATCTTCCAGTCAAGCTTGGTTTATGAGTCTATAGTGGCCTCTCCAACTAATGTCAATTGGTTTCATGTTGGATGCTTCCAAATTTTGACAATAGGGTCAAAATAGGTCCAACAGAAGTCATGTTTTCTCAGAGAGAAACTTGGAATCCTAGTGTCCTTTTTAAATGGTATTGTTTGTAGGAGGCTGCTCACTGAAAGATCCTTACAATTGGTAAATAGATTGAGAAGAGGGAAGTCTTTTTCCTTAAGTGTTCCTTGCATAAAGAGTTGGTGGAATTGGTGTTCGTGTACATGGGTTGTACCTCGTCAGCACCATTAAATTTAACAAAGTTATTTTTAGTTTACAAAAAGAATAATAAAAATAAAGATAACTTCCATGCTTAGGTAGTGATATAATTTAGACTTCTTGTTTACGTTATATTTGGTAATCCTACTTATCTACTCTGCTTTCACTGCAGCATGAATCGAACCCTTTCAAGATACAATAAATGTCTAGATTCTTCAGAGACTGCTTTAGTGGAACATGAAGAAGAGGAACATGAAGAAGAGGTAATTCATCTTATATCCTTACAATTGCCATTGTTGTTTATCTGTATTATGCTTATATACCAGATTGGATGGGGATTTTACAAGTTATGGGTTTAATTTCACTTTTAGCCCCTAACTATAACAATTTTTTTCTCTTAAAATATCAATTTCATCTATTTAGTCCCTTAAAGTTTTTAATTTCAGTTCATGTAATCGAATTAGAGATGATTTTACAAATTTGATAATTGTTGAACCTTGATTTGATGGGCAGAATGGTTATTTCAAAATTTGAACGATTTAAACCTTACATCCAAGCACTGAATTTTATGTGCATATAAAAGCATGTTATTGATTGTTATTTATTAGAAAAGAACACTACTCAGTGTTGGTCCCCGTAATCAGGGGTTCTTGAAGTGATAATGATGCAAATAAAATTGCAATTAGATTCAAGAATCAAGAGAAAGAGACGAAAACCCCAACCTAGGGTTAACCCATAGGATTAGTGAGAGAAATCAGAGCAATTTTGCTCACCAAATTCTATATTCTTCAATTAAAACTAATTACAATTGAGAATACATCACCTATTTATAGACTAAGACCATTAATAACCACAACGAATTGGACACTTAACAAACAAAGTTAATGACAACTAAGCATAAGACTCATTTTGGTTTTAAAGATGTTTATTTTACTACATTAGGACAGCAACTGGGTGATCCAATTCAGCTGCATCTTGAGATGTTTAGATGAAGAACATGTGTTGCATTTCCTTGATCAAAATGTCCCTCACAAGACATTCTCCCTTGAATATGTCAAGTCTGCAACCTTGGCTGAACAGTTACAAGTGCAAAAACCCTCATCATGTACTCATATCCTCTTGTTGGATCTTTGACATGCCTTCATTTTCCCAAGCCTCATTACCACTAGCTTGCATGACTATGCTATCTGAAGAAGAGTGCTCATCTCATTGAGAAGAAACCAATAGGGTTTGGAGGACTGTCATCTAGGGGCACCAGGCACTCCCATAGGGTTTGGCAGTCCCCAAGGTCAAAATTTCAACTTGGGGGGGAAGGGGGACATGACACTAACCTATGGCCTTGCTTCTGCAGAAGCATTCTGCTGAACTACCAGTGTAGCACTATTCTAACTTTCCTTGGCCATTAGTATGAAATAAATGCCTATTATACCAGGGATATCACCTTTGGCTCACACCTTCCCACCCTTTTTACCATGCCACACAAAAGAATTAAAAATAATAAAAAAAATAAGGAATCAATATGGAGCCTTAAGTTTGCAAAACCCTCTTGTTCTCTTCTCTAACTACATCACGTTAGATAAAAGGGGGGTGTACCCTTCTTTCTCCTCGTCCTCACACAACTAGAACCTTAATCACCTATGAACTTGCTAATTTATTATGCTACCTAATGTTGGGTGACCCAAAACGAAACAACAAATAGTTGATACCTTTTGTTTTTTTTTTATCAACAACATAAGTAATTTTATTGAATAAAAGAGAAAAGTAGTACAAGAGAGGACAAGGAGTCCTCAAAGATCAAACATAAAGGACTAAGCAAAAATGACACAAAAACAAAGCAAAAGACAAGAAAATTATGTGTCACAAACAGGGCAGAATCCTCAATGATGGAGACACGAGGCCCAAAAATATGCCAAACTTCGAACTTCATCTTACATAGAATCCACATCCCAAATTTGTGTTAAAAAATCCTTCCATATCTTCCCAACCAAATTACCCCCCAAAAATTACACACACTACACAAAGCCACATCACTTTTAACACGTGCAAGTAAAAGGAAAGATAAACAAACATCACAAATGTTGATGGGTGCTAGATTGGGAACAATGAAGTTCATGGATTGCGATGGTAAAGTTGGACTATGAACTAGGTGTTATTGGAATTTGGGAACCACCATCATTCTGCGGTAGAAATAATTTTACTATCCTTGCGTCTTTTCATTGTCTTAATTCACTTATTTATAAGGTGTAGCGACAATATACCTATTATGTAAGATTTTGTTCATTATCATTATCATTTCATAATGTTATACATTGGGCGTAATGATTACTAAATACGTAAAATTTGTATGTGAGAGGTCAAATATAAGATATCTGCGTAAGGTTGAACCACTATATTATGTCAACTTTGAACCATTCAAATTGCTTATTTATCATTTAATCAAGGTTGTGCCGAAATAGTGCTTGACAAATGCAAATCAGATGGCCCAATATATCATCATTTCACCATTTTAGTTCATGTCCTAAGTTATGGAGGCTGTATCACTTTTAAAATTTCCACGTCTCACCTCACTGTAAAAGACCAAAACAACTCATCTAGTTGATCTCTTGAGCCCAATTACTTATATGTCTATGCATTGTTTCTATGTGGTTGCCAAAAAGGTTTAAGTAGTTGCTAATCTGTCTAGGTGATGGCCGATGCCTCGACTCGAATAAAAGTGACAAGGACCATAGGTGTCAGAATCTTATGATTCAAGATTCATGAATAGATCTATGTGAATCTCTTTTGGGATAGAATCAGTAGTGAAGAGAATAATTCACAATTTGATTCATGTGACTCTTGTAAGAGTTAGTTCGACAGATCCTGACTTGCTTTTACCTCTATTTGTGGAAATGCCACATTGTAATTTCTATGAATGTTTAGTGTGAAATAACCACTAGATATACATATTTTTTTGTTCTTTTGATGATTTGAAGGTTTAACAGATCAGTCTAATCAGATCTAGCAAATTCTTAACCCCATAATATAGCTATTGTTATTTGGTGAAATAAACATGGTTCTGGTCTAATATAATATAGATCGGATCAGTTAGGCCTAATGATTCAATAACTGTTGTTTTACTTTTCTGAACAATGAGCATGGACATCTTTCGAAGTGTTTTAGGTTTATGATAAAAGGTTCCATTCACTCTATTTAGGGTTTCTAGGTTTATTTTTGAATGCGAAAGGTAATAATAATATAGTATGGTTTTAAAAGAATTTTGTGATTGGTGGGATTTGGACCATATCTCTTATTACGAAGGCAATGTCTTACCAATTAGTTGACATAATCATGTTCTCATATAAGAATTATTATATACATTTACCAAAATCAATTCATTTTATTTTCTTTCATAACTAAGATTCCAATAGTTTATTAAATTCATATGCATGTAAAATTTTTGGTATGTGAGCTTGCTCAGCTTAGAGGATAGAGCATCAACTTTGTCATGCGATGGCCATTGGTTCGATTTTGGTAGCTGGCTTTTGTCTAGCTACATTTTGGTTTTTATTTCTGCAGCGTGCCAAGTGCGTATATACAAATGTTTACTATCATTTTTTTAATAGTTTGTGCCAAATCTTACAACTTTTTATTTGACTTTATTCATAATTCGCAAAATTTGCATTTTGATTTACAATATGATTATGAGAAGGGCACTTTCAGGGAACTTTCTCCTTTATAAGGACTATGCAACCCCTATCTCCTGCTTAACATACATGTTAGAAAAAAAATTCTCCAACATAATATATATCTTTCACCTCTTTTGTCGGAGAGTCAAGAACTACTTCCCAAGCAGTCAAGCTAACAGCATAGTGTCAAGAATACAATGGAGCCTTAAAAATGACAATTGACTAGGTTTCTCGGAGGGAGATGCTTTCTACTCTTGTTCATGTATATATCATTTGATTTGTTGATTTGTTTGATTAAACATGTAACTTTCAATATATTGCAGTTCTGTCATGCAGTTTCACTAGTGTCAGTTTTTCAAGTTTATGTGATTTCCAAGGGTTTTCCTCCGCAGGAAGGTATTCTCAACAGCAAAAAGTGAATGTCACATTTCTAGTTTATTTGGTGACAACGGATACTAATCTTTCTTGAACACGTGAACTTTAGATGTACTCCTAGAAGTCTGAGTTGTATTTTCATGAAGAATTATGTGTTGCATCTAGTAATTTTTAGTAGTTGCACAAGTACTTAGATTTTCTTCTGTTTATTCATGTTACAGAACTTAATTTCCCATTAGAAGAGGGTGGGAAGAGGTTGCATGTAGCTTCATTTCCTAGAAAGAAGGATCTCTTGTTTCTGAAATTTCTATTTTTGAGCTTGTGAGAGAGTATAAATGGCTGTGTACCATGTCAATTGTAGGCCTATTGGACACATATCCCATAACCTTACCCTTACCTTTACCCAAGTGTCGGATGTCACAGGTATTTCACAAATTAAGCAGAGACCATGTAACATGGATCTAGATAAAGGTCATAAGAGTTGGGTTTTCTCTCCTTAACCTTGATCAGTTTGAATGCAGTATAGTTAGCGCTATTTTCACCTAGTGGTCTTTGTTTATGATTGGATTTGTACAGCACTGAATATTCTGAGGATTTCTGTTAGAATTTGTAAGATTAACGTACATCTGTATTCTCAAAGTTTCTGGTCTTCAGCAGGTTGTAATTTTCAGCCTTTTTGTTACAGATCCATACATATATGAGGTCGTTCCTTTCTAGCCCCAATATGGAATCACAAACAGTTCTCATTTTTATGGGAATCCCTGTAATATATTGCAATCATAGGTAAAATGAACTTTCAAAGTGGTTTTACTTGGTGAGAGGGAAACCGAAAAGTAATTCAGAATGTAATTCTGTAGATCCAGCAGCAGAAAAATTTGGGAAAAACAAATTGTGTACACTATCAAGCAGGCAACTGATTTAAAAAATAATTTCTCTTAAGGGACTGCATTTTTCTGTTTGATTTTATTAAGGCTAACTTGAGAAGTCTCCAACTACAAGATTTTGTTTTTTCATCTATTGTATGCGGATGTCGTTGCTTCTATGGTGTGGTTTCATATGCATTTATGTTTGCAGAAATCTAGGTAACTAACGTTTTATAGCTTAAATGAACATTGTACATTTTTTTTCTTGACACCCATAAAATTTATTATTGAGATATGAAGTCCTATGCAGTTTATATGTATTGCAAGAAGTCATTTGTCATTATGCTCGTCATTGCACATCACATTGGCCGTATATCTGTGTTGATTATATTAATCCAGTGTGCCTGTACTTCTCTGCAGCCTGTTTCTATCATACATATTCATTAGTCTACTTTTTGATCAAATTAATGCTTTATTGGTAATTCTTTTTACTTCGTATCTCTGTCTGTATACTTTTGTTTTGTATGCTATATAAATGATTCGGGTTTGGTTTTCTAACACCACCCGCCTTCATCTTGATTCAAACAGAAACAAGAATTTGAAGAGGTGGACATTCTGAAAGATGAAATCGCTAACCTCAAAGTGAAACAGATGTATGTCATTTGTTACCTGACATCATCATAATCAGATTTCTGGTAACTGCTTCATTTATTATATATATGGTTCTGATATTTCAGGCAGCTTTTGGGTAAGGACCTTATTGGCTTGAGCTTAAAAGAACTGCATCACCTAGAAGAGCAACTAAATGAAGGATTATTATCTGTGAAAGAGAAGAAGGTCTGAATTTCTCTTTTACATTCCAATTTTGTTATCTCAGATAAAAGTGAATTCTAGCTGTTGTACTCTGAAGATTATCTCAATGTACAGTATAAAGGCTTGATGGATACTTCCTGCCATTTCAGGAACAATTACTGATGGAACAACTAGAGCAATCGAGAGTTCAGGTATACAACTCGCATCATAAAATTTGCACGACTCATTTTATGCAAAACCTGTATTTTCCAGGCAACTCTGAAATTGTTATTATAGTGGATTCCAAGTAGTGAGAGACAAGAAATACATTTATGTGATATAAAGAAAATGGTTATTTGCATGTAATAAACATAAAAGTGAACAAAAGAATTTAAAATTACATTTTACTGTATGGCTTCGTAAGATGAGGTTTCACTTTAAATTGGCATTTATTGGATATTTCTGTTACAGTGCTCCAAGTTGTCATCAAACTAACAATGTTTGTAATATTACTATGGACATTTATATAAGTACGTAATACTTGGAAAAAAAGGGTTAAACTACAGATATTGTACATAAAATTGATACCAGTAATTTCTTTGGTTTCATTTTAGGAACAGCGGGCTATGCTGGAGAACGAGACTTTACGCAGACAGGCAAATTGAACTCCTGTTAATAAATTAATTTCCTCATTTCGGTATCTGTGTTTTTGGACGAGATTTCATATCTGACATTACTGTTTTTCTGCTTAATATGAATTGCAGGTTCAGGAGCTTCGAAATTTCCTTCCATTGTGTGAACATTCAGGGATGCCTTATCAAGAATACTTTCCTGCAGAAAGGAATAATTCCCTTTTGAATCATGGTGCTGCGAGTCCAGATACTGTCCATAATTGTGCAGTTGATCTGCAATTGGGGTACTTTGCTTTTCTTCTATGTAGTTTTTAATCCCATTTTTTGCCCTTTTGCTAGATAATGATTGAAAAAGTGAAATATGAGTTGAACTTTCAACTGAAATATGCCTATGTTAGTCCATATGCATGTAGCCTTTCAATAATTGCTTTTTATTTTCTTCAATTTTGGATCTTCAAGAGTTGATATAAAAGTTTTCTATTTTTTGTACTTGAAAGGAGACTCTTGGATGGATCTTTATATTTCATTTCATAATATGTTAATGTTATCTTGGATAGCATTTTTGTGCCTCCTAGGGAACAGATGATATCCTTATCCCAATCTACTTGAGTTTCAAACTAATTCATTTTTTTTCCCCCTTTTCTTTCCTGCTTTGCTTAATATTGAAACTTTTGTGGAGCTGATAAGGTTTGACAAATGTTTTTACCTTACATGACTATTGAAGTTTAATTTTTCCTAGGTCATGTGTTGAAGGAAATGCTTTGGAAGATGTTACTTTACCTTTGTTAATATGATGCTATTGTTGTTTCAATTGGTTTCATACAATACTATCTATCAGCCATTATTTCAAGCAGTCTGATTTCAATCTCTTTCTGGCTCAGGCTTTCATCTGAGGTTTCTTGCAAAAGGAAGGCACCAGAGAAAGAAAATCGTTCCAGCAACTCTGGGAGTCAAATGTCTCTACTTTGATCCTTTTCTTTACCTTGTCTCTCTGTCTCTCTCCTTATGTTAGCAAAATAGGAATAGCTGCATAGCAACAAATGTCAAATAGCTCTTTCTAGTTTAGCACAGCTTTTGTACAAGAATCATTTTGGACTACAAACTTATCTGACTTTAGGTGACTCCATTGGCACCAGAGATCAAGAATTTGAGATAGAGAGAGAGATTGTATGGTGGGCTGTTGTTAAGCCCATGTTATTTACAATGCCAATATAAATGCTTCTTTTCTTGGAGACCATGGTTCTGGAGGTGAAAAGGTATAGTTGTTTTATAGTTTGTTTTTATTTATTTATTTATTTATTTATTTGCATTTGGTACAGCAAAAGACCATAGTAAATGGAAAGTGTTTTCTGTGATCCATAGAAAACAAATTTATTTGGACAAACAATGATTTTTTTACTTCTTAAAGATGAAAAACGATTTCAAACCAACCATTGTCACCACTATCACCTTATCACTACAGATGCTTCCCTATCATCGCCTCCTACCACCAACACCACCACTATCACAGCCACTGTTTTAGGTCATAACCAAAAACAGGAGAACGTTTTATGCAAATGATGAAATGTTTTCCATTGAAACAAATTAATGATTTTATTCTGTCAAAGTGATAATTTTCCAACATCTGCCAATCACTTGCTTTCTTTTATTTTGTTGATAATGACACCTATTTATTCTTATTTCTTAAGTAAACTTTAATCCTCTTGATGTTTCATATGCTTGTCAAGGAGAATGGTTGATGTTTACTGTTAGAATAGCTTTAGGCTTTATCATTATTAATTGTATAGCTTTATGTTAGACTAGACTAGCTTTAGCTTTATATTATTAATTGTATAGCTTTACCTTTTACTTTCGGTGGTAATGGTGGTATCCAATGCCCATTTTCTCTCTATAAAGAGAGACTTCATTCTCTTTGTAAATCAATCAATATACAATCAATATACAAACATTTCAGAGTCTCTCTCTCGCTCTATAGCTTCTCTCACTCTCTCAAACTAATCTTTCATGGTATCAGAGCCCAGTGTTACATTTCTGGCAATTTTCGATTTTGGTGTTTAGTCCCGTACACAGTGGCATACATCAAATCGCTCGGAATTTTCTCACGATTCCAACGGCACCTAGCCCGTTCTCAGAACACCCTCCACGCGCCCACACGCGCCGCCTTTACCTTCTGCGCGTCACCAGCTCCGCCACCACTCTCACACGCGCCCGCACGCGCCATCTGTTGCTACTCACCTCCGCCACCCTCCTTGAGTTTGCGGGGGGCTGTTAGAATAGCTTTAGGCTTTATCATTATTAATTGTATAGCTTTATGTTAGACTAGACTAGCTTTAGCTTTATATTATTAATTGTATAGCTTTACCTTTTACTTTCGGTGGTAATGGTGGTATCCAATGCCCATTTTCTCTCTATAAAGAGAGACTTCATTCTCTTTGTAAATCAATCAATATACAATCAATATACAAACATTTCAGAGTCTCTCTCTCTCGCTCTATAGCTTCTCTCACTCTCTCAAACTACTCTTTCATTTACAACTACCTATGGTTAGAATGGTGGTTGCGGAATCCAATTTGACTTTTTATTTTCTTTTGGGTTGAAATGGTTAGTTATGGAATTCTATTTGATGTTTTCTTTTCTTTTCTCAACTTCGTCAACAAACAAACTATTAGCCATTGCTACTGAGATTCTTAGTAATTATTTAAAGCACTTGTTTTCATATTAATCCATTTAAAAATGCAGGACCAGACTCCACATGTGGCTAATAGACATCAGTGAAACATAGTAAAATTGATTCATAGTAAAATTATAAGATTACAAGTTAAACTAACACAACAAATTCTTTGTCCAAATAATAAGCGAATACATAATATAATCTTTAATTGAGGTCAGTACAATCTAAATCTATACACAAGAGTTTCAACATTTGCTGCTACGGCTTTCGATTCCGGAGGCTATCAAGCAATTCAGTTCTTCCAGCCAAAATCTCCGAAAACATACCATCTGTTTCCTTCCCCATACCATCCAGTAGCTCCTCCATCTCCTCCAATTTTCGTTCCAATTGCTTTCCGGCATCGTCGTTTCTTTCTCCGGCAGCCATAGCTGCAACAAGGCAAGCTGCTGCATCATTCACCTCCTTCACCTCCTTCAGAACCCACTTTTTCTCCGCTACCGCCTCGTAAAAACCTGAATCCAGAGCCATCAGTGAAGGACTTAGAAACTTGCTGGCTGCTTTTTTCATCTCCAAATATGGTTTGATGTCACCGGATAGGCCTGACAACACAATTCCACATACCCAATAACCATTACTCCTCATAACCATCAAGGCTTGATTGACAACCCATTCCTTCCCAGAGCAGACCCTTTCTTCACTCTTTTCTTCCACTTTCATGTCCTTGCTGAGATTCTTGAACTCAATTGCTCTCAGACGCTCTATCGCCGATTGAGGCGAGCTCTCGATGAGGCTCAAAGCGTGAGATAACGAGAGGCGAGCTTGACTCAGATGAGAAAGTGAAGAAGTGATTGAATTGAGAAGCTCTAACAATTTCAAGCTGTACATAAGATAGTCTTCAATGGAATTGGCATCCCATTTGCTCATGGGATAGTCAATATCCATTACTAGCTTTGCAAAAGCCTTGTTAACAATGGACAGAAGATCCAAACACTGCTGAATCCATGACAAGGACAAGAATTGCGATCCGGGTTTCGAACTCAAGGAAAGTTGGTTTAAGTAGTTTGATGCATCGTATCGGAAAGCTTGTAAAGAAGCCGATAAGGCTTCGGATTGGCCATCGTGGTGGTGGTGATGGTGGTTTTCCAGTTTGGAAGAGTGTTTGAGAGAATTGTAAAGCTTTTCAACCAAGAGAACCATGTCAAGTGTGTACACAATGAAAGAAGAGAGGCTTGTTGATTGATTTGGCTTTGGTTGTTGGAGAAGATTAAGGTTGAAATGGGTATTTTATACATGTGACTTGTGATTTTGGAAAATTGTACAAGTTGGTATTGAAGCCCATTGGTTATTCAAAACAGAGGACCGCTTGGTGTCAGTCAAAAGGCCTTATCTGTTTTTGTTTTTCTGAATAATAATTGAAAGAAGTAAGCACACACGCATTGGGCCACTTGTGTTGTGTGCTTGTAATCCACGCTACAAAGGAACCATAGAGGAAGGACGACTTCATCCACACGTCGCAGAACAGTTCCAAGAAGATGCGTATTCGGAAGGTCAGCCTTCCCTCTAGTCTATTTTTGCGTTATTATTACGGTCACATTTACGGTATGTTCAGTTGGAAGGTTTGCGCAGGGACTTGTAAAGGAAAAGAAAAAAAAGTGTGTAAAATTAATTAAAATATAGATATATTTTATTCACATTTTATTTATTTATTTTATTTTTTTTCTAAATTTCTCTTCAAAATCCTCCAATCAAACACAGCATTAAAATTCGTTTTCCCTTTTTTTTTAAAAATTTATTTTAATTTTTTATTTTTTTATTTTTATGAGGCTGTTGATTGTTTATGTAAAAAAAAATTTTCAAATTGATTTTTATGCTTGTTCAATATATATATATTGATATATATTTTTTAGGTAAAAAATTAAGTTAATTAGATATCAAAGAGATTGTTGTACTTTAAATGAGTTGATTATAATCTATTTATATATTAGTGGTATTTTGAGAAGATGGTTGTACTTTAAATGAGTTGATTATAATCTATTTATATATTAGTGGTATTTTGAGAAGATGGTAAAAAGTTGAGTTTTTAGCATTTTTTAATTTTTTTGGATAAAAAAATAAAAAAATGATGTGATCCAAAAAAGTCAAAAAATTAAAAAACTAATCTTTCTAAATTGCCCCCATATAGCAAAAGAGAGTTTTTAGTGAGAAAAACTCTAAGGCCTTCACATGTCCAACCTCAATTTCTTATTTTTTTAATTTAAAAAACAATAAATTATTCATATGTCTCACATAATTTTTAAATAAAAAATAATAATTTTCAAACTCATCTCCTAAGATCACTGCCTTGATGATATTTTCCTAAAATCAAATATAAAAATACAATTTGTTGACCTTCCAATTTATTTGTCCATCTTCTAAAATCTCTACTAAAAATCATTCATTCCTTAAAATAAATTGAATAAAAATCATCTCAAATTTGTTTAATCTGTTTAGTTTGATTGATTTTGTTTCTTTATAATTAATTTAGAAAACTGATTCATTGTTTCCCTATAAATAAATTAAACAATTTGATTTCGTTGTTTTCCATACTAAATTTGTGACTTCTTAAATTTAAAAACAAAAAAAATCATGATTTATCTTGTGCACTCTTTCTCTAATCAACTCTTTTTCCTATCCCAAAATCATCTTCTCTGAATCATTCACGCCATTCTCATCCTATAAATATTTACATTCATGCAATGATACAACTCATTATTTTTTCTCTATTTTTATGAAACAATTGGAAGTTAATTAATATTTAGTCTCTTGCATTCATGGCATGCCGGCCAAGGCCGTGGCTTGGCATGCCGCCATTGGCATGCTGAGCAACGCTGTGGCAAGGCATGCCGGCCAAGGCGATGGCAAAACAGATTCTTTCATCCTTTAAGTATACTTTTTTTTTTTGTTACTTCTAACCATTTTTTGTTTTTGCATTTTATATTTTATGTATAATTTGTCTCTCTGCTTTCTACGGACCATTATTTTGTTTTTTGAGCTTATAATCATTTTTTTTGTTGGAAAATATTATTTTACTAGAATTTTTATGCAAATTTTTAATCCTAAAATGAAGTGATAATTTCATTTGCATAATAAAAAAACATGTCAATGGACTTTTAATATAAAGTGATAGGTCAAAATCTAACAAAATCTTTATTAATAATTTTTTTGTATTAATTTTATGTTTGTATATCACTACTCTTTTTTTATATTTTACTTTTAATATTTTGTGATATCATGATATGTGTTAATTGACAATTAGTGTAGAGTATTACTTCAAAAATACCTAATAGTTTTTTTGTAATATTTTTATAACTTTACTTTAATATTTTTATTTGTAATTGATTTTGTTTAAAAATATCAATTCAAAAAATATTTACATAAATAATTTTTTTTAATTTTGTTTGAATTGATTTTTGTTTAAAAGTATTATAAAAATATCTACAGTTGCTATAATTACAACACTACAAAAAAATATTATATTTAACTTATTTTTTTCAAAGCTATTAAATATGTATAAATATGTACATTCTATTTTGAGGGAAAAAAAATTACTAATGATGTGTGTTTACCAATTTAAAAAATATTTACATAAACAAATTGGTCAAATGACTCTTCAATTTGTGTTGATTAACATAACTCTAGCATGGCTTAGGTACGTGAATTATCTCATAAAATTTAAAAAAAATTAAAAATACCCTTACATTTTACGGTCAACTTAAATTTATCGTACACTATCAGTTGACAAACAAAATTTTATTAATACCAAAATATTTTTCCTAATGTACTTACTGAAATAAATATAAAATTTAAATATTTAATTTTAATTTTTTTGTTATATCGCCTTAAAAATAAAGAGAGATAGAAGCTGAGTGGGAGAGAGGAACAGAGACAAAAACATATAAGATTGTTACATCACTTAACAAGCTGTGGTACGATGAATTATAACTACGGATTTGATTGACAATATACTTGACCGAAAGTATAATTTTTGTAATTTAAAAAAATTCGTTTGTTTTAATTTTACTAATTGAATTATTATATATCTCTTAGTTATATAATACTTAGGACAAACCATTAATAGCAACAAAACTAAAATAAAATAAAAATTGTGTAACTCATGCTATATTTGGGATTTTATCTTTTTGATTAAAAAATCAAGAAACTAAAATGTGTTTGGCATGTACCAAAAAAAGAAGTTCAAAAATCTTTTTACCAGTATGAAAAGACCAAGTAGCTGTTTACATCTTTGGAAAGATAAAATAAAAATTTAAGTAACAAACAAAAATATTTACATTTTCTCTTATAGTTAAAAAACTCATTCTTAAATACATGAACTTTTTTTAAAAAAACTAAAAAGTCACTTAAAAAGTCAATTTCAAACCCTCATTGTTTTTTATTTAAAAAAAAAGGTTAAAATTTAATGTTATTTATTTTTTCTTTTTTAAAATTATTTTTAATTGGTTTTAAAATAAATTTATTAATTATCATTTAATCTCGTATATAGCACGAGTAATATATTAGTTTATTTTAATTTGAAAGTCTATTCCAAACAATTTAGTTCAACTTCTAACCATATCTTATTAGGCAAAAATAACTTAAATAAAAAGAAGAAAAAAATTATAAAAGTTGGAAAAGAAATACTTTTGAATTCTACTTTTTGATTATGTACTTTTAGCTTACAATAAACTGTATCAAATAGGCTCAATAACAATATATTTGAATTATATTTAGAGGATTTATTTTTTAAAATAGTGGCTTATTTCTTTTACAAGTAAATATAATTTAAATATATACTATCAATATTTGTTCAAAATAATTTTTTTTTATAAATAATTTATTCGGGAGGCACAATATTTAAAAAAAAAAAAAAAAACAATTGGAATCAACAAAGATAGACCTAAAAGTGGGCCCAAAATAACACAAATTGAACATTTTATATTGGAGGGAAGTTCAATCATATCCAATATCCATGTATTAAAAAGTACAAACAAGAATGATATACATTGTCAAATATCTGAATTCAATATTGCATGCTTGGCTATGCACACCCAGTTTTCACACTGTGATGCGCCACTGGTTTTGAACAAGAAAGATTGTTTTGCATTATTAAAATATATATGCGTACACAGGGAAAAAGAGTGGGACCCCACTGGGGTGACCTCATCACTCCCACTGAATGATGATTGATCTATATCTTTTTTTTTTCTTTTTTTTCTTTTTTCTCTTTTAAATACTTCTCCCCCTACAATTTAAATTTTAATCTTTTTATTTGTTTTCAATTTAAATTATTTATTTATTTTTCTTTAGTAAAATTGATACAAAAAAAAAATGTTTTACTCATTTTACCAAAGCCTAATGCTAAGTATCATGAAAAAAATATCATGAAAATGATCATGAAAGATTTTTTCCCGTTAGATTATACATACAAAAAAATATCACACACTAATTAAAGGATGAAAACTCTTCATGAAATATTTCATAATATTTTTTTCATGATCTCTAATACTATTCATTCTACATACACAAAATCAAGTTATAGTGAGAAAAAATTCCATCCGATTAAAGCTCTAAAATCCAAAGATCGTTTCATCAAAACCTACCATTCTCCACAAAGCATAAAACTCATAGATTCAAGTCAAATCCTACAAATTTGCTATTTTGTCGTTCAATCGAAACAAGCTGTCAAACACTCAAATTAACTTTTTGAGGAGAAGAATTATAAGATTTTCTTTGATTAGAAATTTCATGAGAGAATGTACTCATATTATTTTAAATTAATAAATTTATATTTATTATTATGTTTTTATGTCTTTATTTTTACAGACAATAAATTTGTGTGTACAACCCCTACTCTTGTTATTGATTTTTAATGTTGCTTACATGAGGGACTAAAATCATCTTGTCACCCGGCGGCCCCCTCGAAGCCGATTCGTGGCTCGGAACGGCCAGACCCGAGCCCAAGCTTTGCCTCTAGGCTTGGGCTTCGACTTGGGCCGTGTGTTTTGGGGCCTAGCTTGGCTCAATTGGCCCAATCCACTGGCTCGCGCGAGGCTCAATGTCATTTTGAAGCTATTTTGATAAAAAAAAAATATAAAAAATGATCAACCCTAAGTCTAGGCCCAGGCCCCGTGGCCTAAGTACCCCCTAGGGGTGGGTTGAGA